AAAAAAAATGGATATCTATCACGTTATGGGGACATTATGTCCCCATAAGGATAGGTAAACCCACTCGCGCGCACACACACACACACACACACACACTCCATTAATTTCTATGGGGAAAACTCTAATCCCAACATAACGACCTTAACCCCTACCCAGCCCTAACCTTGACAATAAGTAACGAAACAAAGTACGGTAGTGAGTGACTTTTTGCACCAGGAAGTTCTTCCTTGGACCTTGTTGACATATTGATAAATTGTTTTTGTTGACATTAAATTGAGTGAGAATTTGGTAAAAGATTTTAAAATAGTAATCAGCAAATTTTACTTTCAAACAGAAGATAAATTCCTTTTTACAAATCTGGCTTACTGATGTTTGTAATAGGTCAAATCAGAGTTAGTATTTGTCGGAACAAAGCAATTGACCAGTAGAGCAAAAACATCTGACTAGCAATCAAATTGTCCACCATCCATTTTAAAACAGCTTGTCCTGCTCAGGTCTGCACTCATTATTCTCCTACAACTCAGTTAAAATGCTTCTCGGCCCACAGTCAGAATGTAGACAGTTACTACTGCAACTAAATGACTGCTGTAAAGTGGTCATAACCATATTCTAAGTAAAGGGTTTGAAGATAAACAGATAGCTTAGCTATTTGTTTATACCACCAGAGGTCGCTGTTTGCTTAAATTACACAGGTCAACAAACGTGCCACACTTCGTTCCTTTTCTTAAATTATTTTTTTTCATATATCGCGTTTACTAAGCCCAGATATGCATTCAGAAAACTTTGCTCTAGTTCTATAAAAGATTAAAATATTTAGATATTTCTGTTTTATATTAAAGATATTAATAGTTTTATACTGGTAAAGTAAAAAGAAAAGAACAAAAAAACTTTTTTTATGATTTATTTCCAGCTGAAGCTCATCATAAAAACTCAGGGAATCGTTATACATAATAAAAATGGCTTTTTCCATTAAATGGAAGTTAAAAATTAAGCTTTATATCTGTAACAAAGTCCTTGGCCTTGCCAACAATATTGTTTTCTCCGTCTGACGTTTGCAGACAACTTCGGGGGCATCTCTTGTCACAATCCAGCAATAGTCTGCAGCCATTGCAGTTCTAGATGGAACGATAAAGAAAGACAAGATCCCCGACTTGATTGAATTAGACCATGGGTGTCAAACTCCAGTCCTGGGGGGCCGGAGCCTTGCACATTTTTGGGTTCTCTCTCATTTGACACACCTGATTCAACTGCTTGTGCTAATTACCACACAGTTCTTTAGCTGAATAATTTGTTGTGGAACAGGGAAAGAGCTAAGCTATACGGGACTCCGGCACTCCAGGACTAGACTTCGAAACCCCTGGATTCGTTGCTCAAATAAGCACAGGTGCATATTTTAACATGTTGTGCCAGATTCTTTCCTCCAGGGGGAGCCAATTGCACTTTGCAATCGTAGAACGTAAAAGCGCTCCTTGACACAAACAACCACAATGATCGGTTAAAAAAAATAACAAATTGCGAGCTGTCTGGGACATTTTACCTTAAAATTGTATTTTACGAATAAATATGAATTTTCTGGTTATATAAACAAGAACTCACAAGCACACAAAACCACACACTTAGAGTGTCTTAGAGTGCTGTAAATAGTAACCGTTGATTGTGAAAGGTGCATATTTTCAAGATGTGCTTGGGTATGTGCCTGGGTGTGTATCTTAATACACTCTTAACTTTAAAATCCGTTTAATTTCAAAAGCCACAACTATGCAGTGATGCAATGCAACCAAAAACGGAATGAAATAATTTTGTTCAGAAGGCGTCGGAAATAGTTTTTTAATTGGAATTTCACTTTACAGTACATTCAACCAATCCGGTAAATTCCAGTCAAATCCATGGGGAATCTCTGTATAGCACTTTCTGAAAACACTGTTAATTCGTCCTACAAATCTTATGTGGAAACATGTCAGTACTCAGCAGTTACATTTGCAATGTAATCTCAGAAGTAATAATTTGATAATTTACCTTGGTTTTTAAATTATTTCTAATTGTTTCTGGGTGAAATAGTAAAAAACAAAAAATTACGGAAAGTAACTACGAATATCTTATTCGTTGTATTATTAAGCTTTAATTTTTAATTTTTGCATATTTATAGTTTTATTTTAAATAATTGTTGGTTTAGGTGTGATTGCGAGTCCCACGGTTATAGATTAGGTTTCATGTGTTATTAAGAATTTGGATACTGTAATTGTTTCTGTTATTATTACATTCTCATTATATTGATACAGTATATGTTTTTCATGTTCATATAAGAACAGTTCCAAACTTTTAAGAAAAAACACTGCTTTCTTGCTGAAATCCGTTCATATCACACTGCTATAAACCAGCAAAACTGGGAATAAGGCACAAGTAAGGAGATTTATAAACTGGAATAACTAAAATGAAAATGAAATTCTTGCAAAAACTAGCAAAAACCCACAGTTAGGACGAGACGCACGAGGTCTGATAGGGAACATTTGGCCACGCCCACAGAGGGAAACGTAGAACGAAATGTACTGTTTTTGTGAAGGTGGAAAAAAAAATTCACACCATTTAAGAGGGAGATGATTGGCTGCTGGGTCAGACACACACTAAAAGCTTTCCGTTTCGATGACACAGACCCTCCAGATGTGCAGTTAGGCCACACCCCCCGCGAGGCGCCGTCTACCCCATCATCCTGTGCACTCCCTGTCTTGTTTACTAGCACGAGCTGTCCACGCGCCGGTTTTGCTCGCTGATTGGACGAAGGCGAAGCAAACAACGGATTCCATCCAATGAGTGCGCAGTGCACGGGACAAGCCACGCTGCTCACCCCCGCGAGCACATGCACCGCTAGACTGTTATGTGGGGGCGGTCGCTCATTGGTCGAGACAGGGTCATATAAAATACAGCACTTTCCTGTTTGTCTATACCAACACATGATATCGCAGAGGAAGGGTATTTCGCACTGACACGCATATACTGGGTATTTAAATTGCATTGGGCTACACAATTTAAAGCCTTGCAGCATTTGGGGTTTTCCTTAACGGAGCAGGGTAGGATACAACTTTTAGCAGATCTCTGAATTAGCTCAGACACCGGATAAAGGGCAGCCATGGTTGCAATGGGAAAGAAGGTGAAGACTTTCGAGATCGAGTTCAGCGATCCAAGTAAATCTTTCTACATCAGCGGAGACAAGGTGGCCGGCCGGATTGTCGTGGAGGTATCCGAGGTGACCAGGGTGTCGGCCGTGAGGGTGGTCGGAGTGGGATCCGCAAAAGTGGAGTACCTGAAAGGGAAGGAGCGCTGCCGAGAGGAGATCCCGTATCTGAGTTACGAAGAAGTCCTTCGGCTGGACGACCAGCCCTCTGGTAAGGATGAGGCGACCATCGGTTTCCGACAAAAACCCGGCTCGGATGCTTTGATAGCTGCTTAGCGAGTTACAATATACAATGGTCTGAAATCTGAGAACCGCTTCAGTGATATAAGATATGTAATGTGTGTATACTGCTTTGGTGCAAGATCATCATGATAATCTTAATCAAGGTGCAAATTTACCAAGTACAATTTTTTTATATATTGTAGAACTGTTGGTTTTTTTCTGTAGATTCGCCCTTATTTTAATTGTGTAGAACCAATTGGCCATTAGAACCTTTGGTTCTTATGTGTATTTTCATTGTGCATCCGTGTGTTTGCATATTTGTTCAACACTGAAGAGTTTTTGTATTCTTTCAGATAAAGATGGGTCAGTCATCCTCAGACCTGGCAACAAATATGAATACACGTTTGGATTTGAGCTTCCCCAGCAAGGGTAGGTATCCTGAGATTGTGTTTATCGCCATAGGAGTGCCTGAACATGAATGCCCCTCGAGGGCATTGTACTTCTAGCCAGCCAGGGCTCTGACCTCGCTCTCTCGGCCCATTAGGCAGCTGGTGTCTTCCTACACGGGAAAGTTTGGCTCCGTGCATTACTATGTGAAAGCCTTGCTGGTCCGACCATCTCAACCTGCCTTGGAGTGCAGGAAGCTGTTTGAGGTGGAGGAGCCCCTGGATGTCAACACCCCGGACTTGATGGTGAGTTTGCCAGCCATTTTTGTGCTCTCATGACTGTCCTAGTTTCTGCTGAATGTCTCAGGCCTTTGGGCTCTGCTGCTAGACTGTCCCAGCAACCTCTGGGTTGAGTCCAGCTTTTTAAGCAGTGCTGCATTTGGATGTCCTGAGGTACTAATCTCTCATAGCTTTAGAAGATTATACCCTTGAGATGTCATAGCTGTCCTTCTTTAAAGTTTAGAGAGGTATCTGCATGCAGATCACAGCAAATAATGTGCCTATATTCCTCATAAAATGAATATTTCCTGAATTTTTAAGTGACTAACCTGAGCATGTAGTTGGGTGGTCAATAAGCTGTTGAGGTGCTATAAACTAATGACCAATGTTAATCTCTGTTCCTGTTTTAGTCTCCCTCTGGTGGAACGCGGGAGAAGAAGGTCACCTGCATGTTCATCCCCGATGGCCAGGTGTCCCTCAACGCCAAAATCGACCGGAAGGGCTTCTGTGAGGGCGAAGAGATCTGCATCGATGCTCGCTTTGAGAACACCTGCTCGCGCATCGTGATCCCCAAGGCGGCCATCATCGCCAAGCACACCTACCAGGCTAAGGGGCGCTCCAAGGTCTTCCAGCAGAAGCTCTCCTCTGTGCGGGGGAACCACATCATCTCGGGCATGTGCGATGCCTGGCAGGGCAAGACCATCCGCGTGCCCAAGATCAAACCTTCCATCTTGGGTTGCAAAATCCTTCGCATGGAGTACTTCCTCTTGGTGAGTTTCACTGCTCATTTACCCCTCCCCCCCAGGTCTCCACAAACTCAGCTAACATAATCCTTCAACATAGATACCACAAGAGGCTTACCCATACCACAATCACAGGCAGAGATTTCTATTACTCCCAACAGCAATTGACATTTGATCCTCTGTCCCCTTCCAGATCTACGTCAGCATCCCCGGCAGTGAGAAGTTGGTTCTGGAGCTGCCCCTGGTCATTGGAAGCGGCTCTTCCAGTGGCTTCAGCAGCCGCACCAACAGCATGAGCAGCCAAGACGGGGGCAGCAGCACGGCCTCCAATAGCTGGGTGTCCCTGCGCATGCCCTCCGCTCCGCCCAGCTACTGCGAGCTGCCCCGCGACTGCCGCCTGGACACCCCCCTGCTGGACGATTACGACGGCGGGGATAGCCCCATCTTCATGAACTCCCATTTCCAGTTCCCGTCATCCCCACCGGTGTACGGCGAGGTAAATGCCGCACAGGATTCTCCCTATGCTCCGTAAATTCCACTATAGGAGTTTCTACTTAAGCCTAAATGTGTCTAATCCCAACATTGCACCTCCCCCCCCAGGTGGAAGGGGAGTACAATGGTAACTCAAGGATGCTGCCCGTCTGCTGAACGAATAAAGATCTCCCGGACTTTAGTGCATCTATGTCTGGGCCTGTTTCTACTTCAGCACTTTGCTGCAGAGTTCGGGGAGAGTGGGGGAAGGACTGGCATGCTGAGAAGAACGTATGCAGTAGGTGATGGACAGAACCAAGGAGATGTGTCTTTGTGGGGGTGGGGACGGGTGGCACCCCACCCGTGAAGCAGGGAGGAAGATAGTGGGGAAAGCAGGAGTCTGAAGCTGGAAGTTTAATCCTGTGCTATGATCCATCTTTTTCTTGTGATCCTATACTAAGCTGTGCTTCTCCACCACTGGTGCTCTTCCAGAATCAGCCCTCCCTAAGTTGTGATGGGCTATTCCAGTTTTCCAAAGAGGCTCCTTTTTATACAGAGCTGTTCAGGATGCAAGTATTTTGCTAGCTGTCATTCGGTGACCTTTGGTATCCTGCTATCCATATACCAGGCATGAATAGGAGTGTCTCCTTGACACTCCTTGATGTGTAAGGAGTTTGGGACCTCTGTGCTCGTCTCAAAGCATTTACTCCTCTGAAACACATTGCTTTGAAGATATATACATCAACGTAATGTCATTCCATAAAATGTCATTTTTTTTGAAAGGGGAACTGTTTGTCAGTTTTGTTTTCAATCATGATTATGGTGTTCTAGGGACCTTGTGCTGAAATATGTGATGTTAAGAAGGAATTGAGCAGATTGTCTTTGCCTGTGTTTTAGTGTTTGACTTATATAGATATGATATTGCACTTCTGAATGCATATTACTTTGTTACTGTCAAACTTTGTCTTCCACTTGAAGCAAACTCTGTGTTAGGGCATGTATCAGGCTCAGGTCTGAAAAAACAATGTATGTCATCTCCGTCCCACTGCACTGAAGCGGTCTGACACGCTGAGTGCCAGACCAGAGATTGCTTCTGCACTGTGGTCCTGATACATGTTCCGGAAAATCAGGGGCACCCCCGACATTATTATAGATACACCTGGGGTTTCTCCCAGGATGCATTTCACTGTGGGGAGTCGGGGGCACTTTTCAGCACACGCCTTTTATTTCCTTATCAAAGCGCAGTGATTGTATTGCTGAACTGATATTTGTGAAATATGCAACTTTGTTTATATTTTGTATGAACATTTGAATTGTTTTTTGTAAGAGACCCTGTGGGTTATTTTTTAAAAATAAAAATAAATTATACCTAAATACTTTCTGTTCCTTTTTATAAGTGAATGTCCTATAGCCAAAAGTTTTTTTTAGTATTAACAAATAATAATGGGGGTTATTGCAAATGGTTACAGCCAGTCTAGTGATTCTATCTATAAGTCTTGCAGTTATCTTTCCTCTTAGCCATTCATTTCCACCCTAATCTATTTTAGCCTGATCTAGTTTGGGTCAGAGCTGATTCTGTTTTGCTGATATTCATTGAATGGAAATACAGTGAAGGTTCTTGTATCCAGCAACATTGATATTGAGGCATTGCTGGATAGCTGAGTGTCACTCTTGGAAAAAAACTGAATTTTCAAGTCTGGTCAAGTGGGTCTTTATTGTCATACAATCCACAGCCCACAGTGGCTCAAAATAATGTTCCCTAGGACTGCCATGCAATATATGAACATAAAGTGCAGAGACACTAAACAAGACGAAGTGCTACACCTGAGGGAGAGGAAGGAAAGGAGAATAATAGCTAATAAATATCGCTAATGGAGAACATACAAACACTGACACACAGGGGAACAAAGGGTACCCACACAATATAATGGATATGGTGGCTACTGTAGAAATAATAAATACAAGAGATGTAACAATACGACAGATTTGGCACAGATGTAGGAAAGGTGCAGTGTTGGGCACTGTCCACTGGATACAGTGGACAGTGCTGATGGTAAGTCGGGTTTATAACAGAGCTGGTACAGAGTTCAGAATTCGAAAAGCTTTAAGGGAGAAGCTGTTGCAGAACCTGGCAGAAGAGCTTGGATGCTCCTGTACCATCTGCCAGATGGAGGGGAGGACAGAGAGGGAGTGTGAAGGATGGGAGGGGTCCTCCACAGTGCTGGAGGCCTTGCGGATGCAGTGCTCAAGGAAGATGTCCTCAGTGGAGGGTAGAGGGGACCTGGTAATTTTTCCAGCTGTGTTCATTATTTGTTGTTAGGTTTTGAGGTCAGAGACGTTGCAGTTCCCAAGCCAGGCAGTGATGCAGCTGGTCAGGACACACTCGGTGGTTCCCCTGTAGAACATTGTCAGGATGGTAAACGTACTCTCCTCAGCCGCTGAAGGAAATGGAGGCGCTGCTGCACCTTCTTGGCTACGGAGGTGGTGTAGCAATTAAAAAACTCAACTGATTTTAAAATGTTAATGACCAATAAAAAAAAGTAATTTGTCTTCCAAAACGTTCATCATTAATGCATGCATGGAACTGCAATCCATCCATCCATCCATCCATCCATCCATCCATCCAACCGTTTGTCCTATTCAGGGTCACAGGTGGGCATGAGGCTACGGGAGCAAGTAAGAGAACAGCCCTGGATGGAGCGGGACTGCAGTGTGAAAAAAAACATGATGTAATGTGCCAGTCAAGTGAAAAACAATATTGCGTAACTTCAGAGGTAAAACTTAGTGGTGTCTAGCAAAGACATGCAGTGTGCAGTGTGCAGTGTCCTGTTATCCCTGTTACTCTCGTCAGTCCTCTTACCATAACGTCAGTTCTGCTCTTGTCATTAATTTGCATTTTTACTACTGCAGAAAGGCGCTGTGGCCGTGTAGCCTGTGATGGCCTGGATTCAATTCCACGTGCGCAGAGTGTCTCTGACTGTCCTGCAAATGGCTGTGGATTTTCTTACCGTACCTACGCTTGGCTGCCCCAATTCTGTGGATACGTAAATGAAACTTCAAGCACCAAAATCAAAATGGCATATCACTACATAATATTCTTGCTTATTCATTTGTATTGTCCCTGTGAAAAAGCTTGTAAACATCATGTTATTCACGGGTTGCTTCTTACACAAGTCTTACCTTCAACAGAGCCTAGCTACAGTAAGTGATGTAGTCAAAATACAAAATCTCTTTGAATAAGCCACCCTGTACATTAAAAGTTGCAGTATGTTCATTTGTAGGCTCTTACTATACTTTAAAACAATACAAAATAAGCTAAAAATGTAATCAAGAAGTTATTTCTATTTAATATGGGTATTGTACATATTCCGTGGTTATGGGTCACTTTGTCCCTGGATTTGAAGGCAGCATCCCTTACTTTAAGAAGCACATGTACCCTTGAAGTCATTCATGGTTTCTGGTTGGCACGTATGGTGATTGTCTTGGAGACAGTTACATCATCTAGATACTTGTTAATGCAACCAGTAACATACCATGCATACTCCCTCAACTTATTGTGATGACTGTAGTTGGCGGCCATTTTAAACAGGGCCTAGGGAAACGTGAATATCTGGCAAGAGGGTGATTCTGCTGTATACTGAGAATGTTCTGTTTCACCCCCAGGATCCTGAACGAGCCTTGGCAGGTTAGAGGTAGGCCTGATGACGTGAGAATGCTGTGCCCTTCTGGTTATGTTGCCCAGGGGTGACGGTTGTGCGGTGCCATTCTGGCCACTGGGAGCTACAGACTTCCTGATTCCATATGCCTGGATGAAGATGATATCTGCATGTTAAATAGTAGCTCCTCCTAAGCACAACAGGAGGGAAGCGCACATGCAAAGTAAAAATACAGACGGAGCCCGGCTCTGATTCCTTATGTCCAAATTGCACCTTGCCGGAGCGCAGCTCCACCTCATTCTGCATTCATATTAATTTTGGCTCTGATTTCACCAGTGGGTGAGATATTCTTACATGATGCCTTGACTTCTGTCCTGTGATTTTGTATTTTGACTAGATCACTTGCTGTACTGCTGCCAAAACTTCACTTAGGCCTGCTAGCTAGGCTCTGCTGAAGGTAAGACTTGTGTAAGAAGCAACCCGTGAATAACATGATGTTTACAAGCATTTTCACGGGGACAATATGAATGAATAAGCAAGAATATTACTCGTAGTGATATGCCACTTCATTGCTTGAAGTTTCATTTACGTATCATGTTTTTAAAAAAAAATATTTAATGTTCGTATTTAAAGTTCTATTTAACCACAGGATATGTACCATGATTATTACAGTAATGTACACTGCTACGGTGTATAATGTGGGTGCCATGGGTGCGCAGACCATGATTATTCTAGTAATTTACACTGTGATGGTATATGATGTGGGTGCACACCACTGGGCCGAGGGCTCAAATCCAAGCTGTGTTCTGTGTCTCTTAGGAGTCTGCAGTTTCTCCCAGTGCAGGTGTCCTCCAGCCACTCTGGTTTCCTTAGCTTTTCTATGTATTTATGAACCTTTAATGGTCTGGCATCCTGCCCCAGCATTGTTCACCATGCCTCCTGGGATAAGCTGCAGAGGATCCGACCTTGACGACGATAAGTGGTTGTAAGATAGATGGATATAGCTGTAATATCTACTTGTGGGCAGAGGTTCCATATTTCTGGCAGAGTGCTGGGGATGGACCAGGCATAACTTTGAAGTTCTGCTGCTTGTGAATAGCAGGAACCTTTCAGATAGGAGAAATTGGCCCTTTTTTCATTTTTATGGCAATCTTGTTGTTTTCTCTGTAAGCGAATTTTACATTCTTTAGTAAAATACTTTACTAATTCTCACCAGTATATTTCTATGGATGCATTTTGTTCCTGCCTTCATAATGGAGAAATGGGACATTTGGGTGTAGTGGTTGCATATTATTTTGGTGCATTATTTTGTTGCACTATTTTGGCGCATTATATTTGCAGTAGTACTTTGGTGTTGGTGTAGCAGCTTCCTTCCATAAGCAAAAAAAACCTCCAAAAATATTTTATATGTTCTAACAATCTCTGGATTAAATCTTTGAAAGCAAGTCATTGTTATGATTAGGGACAAGGTTATAAACTGTCACCACCCGGTGTGACACATTTTATAAACAAACTTGCAGTTGCAGTTGCTGCCTAAAGCACATTTTTCACCTGAACTGTATGCAAACAACGATGATCGTATTACTGAGAGGAAAAACAGAGGAATGAGATTTCAGGCTGAGATTCCTTCATCTTGCTGAATGCAGTGGGAATGCCAGTGAAATCCTGTTTCGATCCTTTGGGAAATATCTGCCATCGTGAAAAGTGCAGTCAGATGAGAGCTTACTGCCGACACGCATGTCCAGCCATGTCCTGCACGCGGCAGAATGCAGAATGCAGGCCGAGCCTAACCAGCGGGTTTTTTTCATGTTGGTGGACGTGCTGCTCCTCAGGGCCTTGAAGGCGTGGTGGGGAAGATAAGGCCGGGGGATTGTTTATCTCCACTCGCCTCTCCACCCCCCAGCCCTCGATTGGCCCTTCTGCTCTTGTGAGTGCTGCCGTGCTCAGTGTCAGGGCCCAGCGTATACAACCCCCCCGGGCAGTGGAGCGTGACACTTCACCTCAGCCTTACATGTCTTTTTATTGTTTTTTTTTTTCTGTTGCCTTTCGGAACGAAGCAACCTCTAGAATTCTGTTGGGAGATCAGAGCCATTCTCCAGAGATCCTGCTCGCACTGGACTGCTATGATGTTTTTAGTTAAGAAAGCTTTTCATTTCAGCGTGTTTTCCTGTCATAATGTTTATGCAGATTACCTTCTGCTACATGCCCCAACTCAAACAGCATACTGGGCACCCTCTAGAATTGTAATAATTGCAAGGTTGTTGGGTTGATATCACCTTTGAAAACAGAAACAGAAGAGTTTAGGCGTTTTGTGTTTTATCAGATCTGAGCGTCGTTTCACTTTCGGATTCCTTCCCACGATGTCACACAATATCTGTGAGACCTTGACCAGAGCCCAACATCATCGCTACAAACTGCGTTGGAGAGCATTATGATTAATCAGTGATAGTTACGCCCTTGTTTGATCTACTGGCCTGTATTTCTGTGTATGCTGTTATCTAATAGGAATGTGTTTAAAAACACAGCTTTGACTCACTGCCAGCGCGTTCTCTGTAGCAGATAGTACACATGCCAGCCGGACTGTCCACAGGCCTTTGGGTGTGTGTATCTCTGGTCATGCTGACCATTAACAGGAAAACATGATCAAATTATTAAATTGTTATCTAAGGGCGTAGTGCACTGTGCACCTGACCACCTGAAGGAGTGTTTCTGTGTATGCA